GAACAGATTTGTTTCACCTCGCTTTTCCTTGTTGCAGAGTGCGAGCACAACCTCTTCTGCGCCGGCTGGTGACCAAAATGAACTCCTGTCCAGAATTTCTCACCTGGAGGTAGAAAATCAAAACCTTCGTAGTGGTAAGTAGGAGAACCTTCTGGCATGAAAGCAAAACTAGATGGGGTCCCGCTCCTGCGGGATGTATCCCTTATTGTGAGTTTGTCATCAGGTGAGCACGTGCCAAGTGTCTTGATCGCACCTTTGCAGTCTTCCCTCTCACTGGGGCAACTGGTGTTTTTAAAGCCCACTTTGGGCAGAAACAAATTTGTCCTGATTTGAGAGCTGATGCAGAGCCTACAAGATAAGGTTCTTATTCTTTTTTTTTTTTTTTTTTCCTTCCCCCCCTCCCTTTTCTCACAGTTGTTGCAGACCTTCAGATGGCCATCTTCAAGTTGGAAAGCCGCCTGAACGCTCTGGAAAAGTCATCTACCTCCCACCAGCCCTCACCGGTTCCTCCAACCCAGGTGAGCTTTGGTAAAGTGCTGTTCTTGAAATGCTTCACGGTCACCCAAGTGCCAGGTTATTTCCAAGGTCTCCTGGCTGTCTGAAGACGGGGAGATGCTTCTAGTTAGGATGAGTTTGTTACAGCTTTTCCAGGAGTTTTGGCAGCTGCCTCATCATCTTTCCCAAAAACTACTTGTGAGAGGAGTGTTCTGCCCTAAGACCAGCAAAGAAGCTACGTTAGAGATTTCAGTTAGGGAGAGCTGGTGTAGATCTGCGGAAGTTTGGAGTCGATATATACATGTCCCCTCTAAGAATGCATTTAATTTAAGAGAAAGTTTTGTGGGACCTGAATGCGTGGCACCAATTTGATGAATTCTCCTTGTAGGTTGGAAGAGATGCTACCGGTGGTGCTGGTGGTCTCTACAGCCTACAGAATGCGTGGACCTCTCCTCACCCTGGGGGGAAGACGCTTGGTTGCCTTCCCAACTGCTGTTCCGTGCAAACATTTATGGTCTAGATATCCTGAGCCTTCAGGAGAAGGATCAGCTCTTGGCTACGTGGTGGTTTCTTGCTCTATAATAACAACCATGGTGGACTAACTCAAAGGTCCATCTGGTCGAATGTCCTCTTTTGATGGCCAAGAGCTGATTCTTCCCACAAATCACGTGGCCATGTTCACTGTCTTGAGCAATGTAGACTTCTGTTCCTCAGCTTCTCCGTAATGCTGCTCTGATTCAACTTTGGGTTAATCTTCTCCCCTTTTTCCTTCATGCAAACTTGAACACACGTCACTCCAATGAAGAAAGTGGAACCTTTCAGCGTTCCTTCCAAGAAAGTGGAGCTCCCTTCTGCTTCACCGGCAAAGAAAGCTGAGCCAGCTGCTGCAGAGGAAGATGACGATGATGACATCGACCTTTTTGGTAGTGATGATGAAGAGGAAGACCAAGAGGCTGCTAAAGTCCGGGAGGAGAGACTCCGTCAGTACGCAGAGAAGAAGGCCAAGAAACCGGGTCTTATTGCCAAGTCTTCTATCCTTCTGGATGTGAAGCCGGTGAGTAACTGCAGTGGGGGAGCTCCGCAGTGAGGCCGTACAGCTGTGCTGCGGGAGGCTGTATGTCAGTCGTCTCGCACATCCGAGGGGACGGGTGAAGTCAGGACCCGCAGGTTTCCAAACAAGGGGTCAGAGCGAGGTGGGATATTGCAGCTGTGATCTGCTGCCTTTGTGCCGCTGCCCCGCTCCTTGCACGGTGGCAAGTGCAGGCTGTTATCTGATGTTCCCCTAAACAGGAGTAACGCTTTTCTTTGGAGAAAAGACAGATAATAAATGCCCTGAAGATGAGAATAAACCTATCTTTGACAAATTGTCATGGTAGAACAAAAAACTCTGGGCTGGCTTGAGCTCTGAGAGATGCCCTTGGTAAAAGTCATTTAAAGTGAACGCTCCAAAGCGGTTGTGTTGCTGCAGGAAGAATTCCCCTCGCGTCTGCAGTGCCTATAGTTAGAATCGAAATGCTGTGGATGCAGCATTGCTACCGAGTCAGGTTTAGCTTAGCTAACCCCATCATCTAATCCTGGTGGGAAAGATCAGCCGAGAAAGGGAAGCTTGGATCAGCTGAAATGTACTGAGAGGTGCGGCGTTTAATTTTAAATCACTGGATGCCTCTTGGGGCTAACAGTGATCTCTAGGAAAATGCTAAAGTTTTTATTCCTGTTTTTGCAGTGGGACGATGAGACTGACATGGCGAAGATGGAGGAGTGCGTCCGGTCCGTCCAGATGGATGGGCTGGTGTGGGGAGCCTCCAAGCTGGTCCCAGTAGGCTATGGCATCAAGAAGCTCCAAATCCAGTGCGTAGTGGAGGATGACAAAGTCGGAACAGACATCCTGGAGGAGGAGATCACCAAGTTTGAAGACTACGTAAGTCTTCTGAGTGAGCTGTGTACTGCAGGGTGATGTCTGACCCACGGGCTCACTTTTAACTAAGGTTTATTTGCAGATTTTGGCAAATATGGATTTATTTATTTTTTTTAAAAGAAAAACGTGTGGAAGTGATGGTGTCTGCCTGTTCTGCAGGCTCATCCAGCCCCCACCGAGTGTTATTTTGGGGAACCCCTGCTCTTACACCTAGTCTGGGTGGCACTGGGGTGGACACACAAGTGGTTAACCTTGGTGGCTGCAGCTGGAGGAGATCCCTTATAAATCAGGAACTTCTGCTCTTTAATCTTAGCATTGTTAGAAACTCTCTTAATCCTGGGCTGCATCAGAAGAAGTGTGGCCAGCAGGTCAAGGGAGGGGATTCTGCCCCTCTACTCTGCTCTGGTGAGACCCCACCTGGAGTACTGCGTCCAGCTCTGGAGTCCCCAACATAAGAAAGACATGGACCTGGTGGAGCAGGTCCAGAGGAGGGCCATGAAGATGCTCCAAGGGCTGGAGCCCCTCTCCTATGAGGACAGGCTAAGAGAGTTGGGGCTGTTCAGCCTGGAGAAGAGAAGGCTCCAAGGAGAACTTACAGCTGCTTTCCAGTGCCTGAAGGGGCTCCAGGAGAGCTGGGGAAGCACATTTTACAAGGGCATGTAGTGATAAGACGAGGGGGAATGGCTTTAAACTGGAAGAGGGCAGGTTTAGATTAGATATTAGGATGAAATTTTTCACTCTGAGGGTGGTGAGGCACTGGCCCAGGCTGCCCTGAGAAGCTGTGGCTGCCCCATCCCTGGAGGTGTTCAAGGCCAGGTTGGACGGGGCTTGGAGCAACCTGGGCTGGTGGGAGGTGTCCCTGCCCATGGCAGGGGAGTTGGAACTCGATGATCTTCAAGGTCCCTTCCACCCCAAACCAGTCTGTGATTCTATGTATATTCTTCATAGGCTGGACTGCCTTAAAGATTCATGCGGTAACTAGTACGGTGCAGTGTCTTGTTGTGACAGACATTGCTAAAAATATTAAATCCCAGTCCCTAAAGGTCCTCTTACCACAGCTTGGGGAGCTGAACTGGGCCACGCTTGATCTGGTTTGAGCATCGCTAGCGCATGCTATGAAGAAATCCTTGATACGAGTGCTTTCTCTTGTTTTCAATGTCTTGAAAACGCTTTGGTGACCTCTGCCTTCTGCCTTTGTTCTCTTTCAGGTGCAAAGCGTTGACATTGCTGCTTTCAACAAAATCTAGAAGCAAAACTGTATCCCCTCTGAAACTGTAACTAATAAAGATCAAGACCGGGAGTGCAGATTGGACTATGTTGGGTTTTTTTTTTTTCCCCTCTGCCACGTTCAACTTCTCCAGAGTGATGCGTTGTGAGACTTGATGATATTTCCTTTCCTTGTCCCCTTTGTAAAAGGAAAAAGGCCTTGAGCCAGGACCATGCGGGCCTTGGCCTGTGTGCCTCTTGTCCCCTGTGCTGCCATCACCAGAGTCCCCTGGGCCTGGTGCTGACGCTGCTGGGGCCACACGTGGTGTCCCCATGAGCCTGGTCCCAGGTGCTGCCATCCCCGCTGTCCTGCGTCCCCTGTGTGCTGCCATCCCGGTGCCATGTGTGCCCTGTGTGTGGTCATCCCTGGTGTCCTCTGCCCTGTGTTCCCTGTGTGCTGCCATCCCCAGTGCCATGTGAGTCCTGTGTCCCCTGCGTGCTGCCATCCCTGGTGTCCCATGTCCCCCATGTGATGCCATCCGTGGTGTCCCATGTATGTCCTGTGTCCCCTCTGTGCTGCCATCCCCAGTGCCATGTGTGCTGCCATCCCTGGTGTCCCATGTCCCCCATGTGATGCCATCCGTGGTGTCCCATGTATGTCCTGTGTCCCCTCTGTGCTGCCCTCCCCAGTCCCGTGTCCCGTGTGCTGCCATCCCTGGTGTCCCATGTCCCCCATGTGACGCCATCCCTGGTGTCCCATGTATGTCCTGTGTCCCCTCTGTGCTGCCCTCCCCAGTCCCGTGTCCCGTGTGCTGCCATCCCTGGTGTCCCATGTCCCTTGTACCACCCTTCTCCTCACCACTGCACCACATGCACCGGTGTCCTGTGTACTCTTCTCCTTGCTATGGCCCATGTCCCCTGTGTTGTCCATTGTGCTGCCCTCTCCTGTGACATGTGTCCCTTAAGCCACCAGCGTCCCATATGCCTGCTGCCCTGTGTCCCAGGTGCCTGGTGCTGCAAGGTGTCCTGGGTACCCAGTGTCCTGTGTCCCTGGTGCTGGCACAGTTGGGGCCACGTGTGCCTGGTGCTGGGGGTGCAGTGTCCCCTGTGTGATGCCATCCCTGGTGCCATGTGTGTCCCACATGTCTTCTGTGCTGCCACCCCTGGTGTCCTGTGTCACATGTCCCCCATGTACTGCCACCCCCGGTGCCATGGGTGTCCCATGTCCCTTCCTTCTGTGCTGCCATCCACAGTGTCCCGTGTTCCTTCTGTGCTGCCGTCCCCACTGCCATGTGTGTCCCATGTCCCCTCTCTGCTGCCATCCCCAGTGTCATGCATGTCCCATGTCCTGCCATGCTTGGTGCCATGTGTGTTCCATGTTCCTCATGTGCTGCCATCCCCAGTGTCCCCTGTCCCCCATGTGATGCCACCCCCTCTGTCACGTGTGGCCCCTGTCCCCTCTGTGCTGCCATCCCTGGTGTCCTGTGTCCCCTGTGTGCTGCCATCCATGCCATGCTCTGTGTCCCATCTGTGCTGCCACCTCTGGTGTCCCATGTCTCCTCTATGCTGCTTACCCTGATGTCCTGTGTCCCCTCTGTGCTGCCACCCCCAGTGCCATGTGTGTCCCCTGTCCCCTCTGTGCTGCCATCGCCAGTGTTCCATGTCACCTGGTGCCATGTGTGTCCCACGTCCCCTCTGTGCTGCCAACCCTGATGTCCCATGTCCCCTCTGTGCTGCCACCCCGGTGTCCCATGTCACCCAGTGCCATGTGTGTCCCACATCCCCTCTGTGCTGCCACCCCTGATGTCCCCTGTCCCCTCTCTGCTGCCACCCCCAGTGTCCCATGTCACCCAGTGCCATGCCTCCCCCCTGTGCTGCCCCCCCCAGTGCCATGTGTGTCCCATGTCCCCTCTGTGCTGCCACCCCCGGTGTCCCATGTCACCCAGTGCCATGTGTCCCACATCCAGGGATGTCTCACAGGGGAAGAGGAGAGCCCTCAGAGCGATTTGGGGCACGGCGACCTGTGGGGGGGACAGGGAGAGCCCTCAGAGGGACCTGAGGAACAGGGGGACCTGAGGCCTGCGGTGGGGGAGAGGGACAGTCCTCAGGGGGACCTGCAGGGGACAGGGACAGCTTACAGGGGGATCTAAGGGGGACCTGGGGCAACGGGGGGGACAGTGACTTCCCTCAGAGGGACTTGGGGGACAGGGGGACCTGGAGGGGACAGGGACATCCCTCAGAGGGACCTGTGGAACAGAGGGACCCTTAAGGGGTGACCTGGGGGACTGGGGTCCTGCGGTGGGGGAGAGGGACAGCCCTCGGGGGGGACTTGGGGACAGTGGGACCTGTGGGGGGACAGGGACGTCTCAGAGGGGAAGGGGAGAGCCCTCAGAGGGATTTGGGGGACAGTGTGACCTGTGGGGGGACAGGGATGTCTCACAGGGGAAGAGGAGAGCCCTCAGAGCGATTTGGGGCACGGCGACCTGTGGGGGGGACAGGGAGAGCCCTCAGAGGGACCTGAGGAACAGGGGGACCTGAGGCCTGCGGTGGGGGAGAGGGACAGTCCTCAGGGGGACCTGCAGGGGACAGGGACAGCTTACAGGGGGATCTAAGGGGGACCTGGGGCAACGGGGGGGACAGTGACTTCCCTCAGAGGGACTTGGGGGACAGGGGGACCTGGAGGGGACAGGGACATCCCTCAGAGGGACCTGTGGAACAGAGGGACCCTTAAGGGGTGACCTGGGGGACTGGGGTCCTGCGGTGGGGGAGAGGGACAGCCCTCGGGGGGGACTTGGGGACAGTGGGACCTGTGGGGGGACAGGGACGTCTCAGAGGGGAAGGGGAGAGCCCTCAGAGGGATTTGGGGGACAGTGTGACCTGTGGGGGGACAGGGATGTCTCACAGGGGAAGAGGAGAGCCCTCAGAGCGATTTGGGGCACGGCGACCTGTGGGGGGGACAGGGAGAGCCCTCAGAGGGACCTGAGGAACAGGGGGACCTGAGGCCTGCGGTGGGGGAGAGGGACAGTCCTCAGGGGGACCTGCAGGGGACAGGGACAGCTTACAGGGGGATCTAAGGGGGACCTGGGGCAACGGGGGGGACAGTGACTTCCCTCAGAGGGACTTGGGGGACAGGAGGACCTGGAGGGGACAGGGACATCCCTCAGAGGGACCTGTGGAACAGGGGGACCCTTAAGGGGTGACCTGGGGGACTGGGGTCCTGCGGTGGGGGAGAGGGACAGCCCTCGGGGGGGACTTGGGGACAGTGGGACCTGTGGGGGGACAGGGACGTTTCAGAGGGGAAGGAGAGAGCCCTCAGAGGGAATTGGGGGACAGTGTGACCTGTGGGGGGACAGGGATGTCTCACAGGGGAAGAGGAGAGCCCTCAGAGCGATTTGGGGGATGGCGACCTGTGGGGGGGACAGGGAGAGCCCTCAGAGGGACCTGAGGAACAGGGGGACCTGAGGCCTGCGGTGTGGGAGAGGGACAGTCCTCGGGGGGACCTGCAGGGGACAGGGATGGCGCACAGGGGAAGGGGAGAGCCCTCAGAGGGACCTGAGGAACAGGGGGACCTGAGGCCTGCGGTGCGGGAGAGGGACAGTCCTGGGGGGGACCTGGGGACAGGGGGACCCCTCAGGGGGACCTGGAGGGGACAGGGACACCCCTCAGAGGGACCTGAGGAACAGGGGGACCTGAGGCCTGCGGTGCGGGAGAGGGACAGTCCTGGGGGGGACCTGGGGACAGGGGGACCCCTCAGGGGGACCTGGAGGGGACAGGGACACCCCTCAGAGGGACCTGAGGAACAGGGGGACCTGAGGCCTGCGGTGCGGGAGAGGGACAGTCCTGGGGGGGACCTGGGGACAGGGGGACCCCTCAGGGGGACCTGGAGGGGACAGGGACACCCCTCAGAGGGACCTGAGGAACAGGGGGACCTGAGGCCTGCGGTGCGGGAGAGGGACAGTCCTGGGGGGGACCTGGGGACAGGGGGACCCCTCAGGGGGACCTGGAGGGGACAGGGACACCCCTCAGAGGGACCTGAGGAACAGGGGGACCTGAGGCCTGCGGTGCGGGAGAGGGACAGTCCTGGGGGGGACCTGGGGACAGGGGGACCCCTCAGGGGGACCTGGAGGGGACAGGGACACCCCTCAGAGGGACCTGAGGAACAGGGGGACCTGAGGCCTGCGGTGCGGGAGAGGGACAGTCCTGGGGGGGACCTGGGGACAGGGGGACCCCTCAGGGGGACCTGGAGGGGACAGGGACACCCCTCAGAGGGACCTGAGGAACAGGGGGACCTGAGGCCTGCGGTGCGGGAGAGGGACAGTCCTGGGGGGGACCTGGGGACAGGGGGACCCCTCAGGGGGACCTGGAGGGGACAGGGACACCCCTCAGAGGGACCTGAGGAACAGGGGGACCTGAGGCCTGCGGTGCGGGAGAGGGACAGTCCTGGGGGGGACCTGGGGACAGGGGGACCCCTCAGGGGGACCTGGAGGGGACAGGGACACCCCTCAGAGGGACCTGAGGAACAGGGGGACCTGAGGCCTGCGGTGCGGGAGAGGGACAGTCCTTGGGGGGACCTGGGGACAGGGGAACCCCTCAGGGGGACCTGCAGGGGACAGGGACAGCTTACAGGGGGATCTAAGGGGGACCTGGGGCCA